GCCTTCAAAATACATCAGAATCCCACCACTCAGCATCACCTCCATGGCCAGCACCGAAGATCACGCAAGCATTGCCTCCCGTCTGACTACTTACTAGCTTTCTAACTCATCTCCTTGCTCCCTGCCCACTGCCACCCCCAGGCAATGCTCACCCAGTAGCCAAAGTGAAGCTGTTAAAACGTCAGATCATGTCCCTCCTCTGAAGGTGACCCTTGGTGACTCCTCTCTCACTCCCCACCTGGCCATCTAGCATTGCTCCTATTGCCTGCTCTTTCCGGATAGCCACATGACGTGTTCCCTTCATTCCTTCAGCTCTTTACTCAATGTCACTAATGTGACCCTTGTCCCGGCCATGCTCTCTAAACACACCCTCTTCCTGTCCGCCTGCAGTGCCTTTTCACCTTCGCATTTTCTGGTCTACTACACTAGACAGTCTACATATTTTTTTAAATTTGTGAATTGCTCACCTCTGCCGCTAGAAAATAGGTGTCTCTGGGGCAGGTGTTTTTGTTTTGCTCACTTTTCTAAAGACAAGAACAGTTAGTGGCACAGAAAGTTACTCAAGAAATATTGATTGAGAGCCAAAAATGTGTGTGAGTGGCCACGCTCCCGGCATTCTACATGTGTTATCCATGGAGCTAAGAAATCCCAAATCAGATGGATGCACGTTTATTACCGTGGTACGCGATGTCTGTTCAATGACTACTGAGGCATCTGCTTATACCTGCTGCCCCCACCTGGAATGTTCCTACCAAAAGTCTACTCATCTCTGGTCAGGTCAAGAACTGCCCCAAGGTTTTCTTCTAGAGAAGTCCTCCAGTGTCTTCTAGACCACTAATGACCCTGTCTGAATATTCCCATTAACCTTTCCTTTGACAATCATGCACACTTGGCAATCTGGTATACCAAAATTGCCGCTTATTTCCTACACTGTTTTTTCTGCCTGGCTAGGCTGTAAGTTTCTTGAGGTCGGGTGGCTACCCGGATGCCATGCAATCCTTCGTGTAGTATGGCTTTAAGTGTTTTGACTGATGAGCAGCAAAACACTATCAACATTGATAGTTTTCTATGATGTAATTGCAAAGTCCCAGTTTATTGTAAAACATCCATTTGTCCTGAAACACTGCCCCTACTTCTAAAGAAAGGTGTGCCCGTCACATTCGAGGTCTCTATACAGTTGCAGGGGTGGAGACGGAGCAGTTTCTCTGAGAAGAGAGCAGCGCCGGGCAGTCGGAGCGGCACCGGCTGGACCGTCAGGCTCACTGTGCTCAGTTATAGGACAAATAACAAAATTAATACCGCAAAACTTAGGAGTACAATTTATCTAAAACAATTTTTTAAATTTAATATCCCAGAGTGTTATAAATACATTTTGTTTATAGTCAGCAGTATTTTTTAAAAAAATTTTCTTTATTTATTTTAGAGAGGGAGGAAGGTAGAGGGAGAGAGATAGAAACATCGATGAGAGACATTGATCGGCCGCCTCCTGCATGCCCCCCACTGGGGATCAGGCCCACAACCTGGGCATGTGCCCTGACCGGGAATCAAACCGGCGACCTTTTGGTGCATGAGTCGACGCTCAACTACTGAGCTACACTGGCCAGCTTACAGTCAGCAGTTTTTTATAAACACTGCTCGCCTTTTGGGTGGGGTTGAGGGAGGGCACTGAAATCTTATGTAGCTATATCACATCAATGAGAATGTGAAATGCCCTCGTACAATTTTGATGACAAACTTGGTCGCATTGTAACTGAATAAATGAAAACATTAACAGATATAACGGATTCTTGAACTAAGTAATTTTAAGAAAATCAGCATATAATAAGTGACAACATGATTGCAATAAAAATTCAAAAATTGGAGATCCACATTATTAAACTACGTCTACATGACAGCCAGTATATGCCTTTACAGAAACACTATTTTACAACAAAGCTTTAAAAATGCAGCTTGGTAACAGCTTATTTTGATCCCAAAACATTGTATCAAATTTCCTGCCTGGCACTGTAGACACAGGTGCAAGCCACACACACAACTACAGCACGGTGCGCCATAGTGCCCTCTCCAGTACGAAGACACCAGCTCCCTGCACTCGGAGCTACGAATCATCCTGCACGTACTGTGAACTCAAGCCAAAGCACACATAGAAGCTAACCATTTCTATGCCATAACAAACCTGCTTCTACCTTAACAAGATGGACGAATTAAGGTTTAAAGAGTAATCTTTTTATGCCCCATCTCGGTGAAATGAATGTCTAAGGAAACTTTCTTCCAGTTTGCAAAAATCAAACAAACAAATCCCCAAATAAACAGTAACCACAATAACAAAAAACCAAACCCACCTTTATACATGGCTTTCATTAAATTCCAATAGTTCTCTGGTTTTTTAAAATTTTAATCAAGGCAAAGTTCACACCACAAATATTTAATGCCAGAGCAGAAACAAATCTTCCTCACAAATGTGTCTGATTTGTTGCACAGAAGCCAAAGAAAAGCAGCCAGGTATGATAGAGTAAGAATCACCAGTAGATTAATGGGAAGGTAAACAGTTAAAAGTGATTTCACTTTAATTTTCTAACCAATTATCTATCAATGAGCTAAAAATATTATATATACACACTGAAGAGCTCAACTTAATGGGAGAAGAGGTTTGCAAATGATATATCCAATAAGGGGTGAATATCCAAAATATATAAAGAATCCAAACAACACCAAACACAAAAACAAAACAAAACAAAAAAACCAACAATCCACTTTAAAAATTGGCAGAGAGCCTGAATAGACATTTCTCCCAAGAGGACATACAGAGGGCCAACAGATATATAAAAAGATGCTCAACATTACGAATCATCAGGGAAAGGCAAATTAAAACCACAGTGAACTATCTCTGCACACCTGTCAGAGTGGCTACCCTCAGTAAATCAACAAATACCAACTACTATGGAGGATGTGGAGGACTGTGGTGGGACGTGAATTAGTGCAGCCACTATAGAAAACAGTCTGGAGATTCCTGAAAATATTAAAAATAGAGCTGCCACACAATCCATCAATTCCACTTCTGGGTATTTATCCAAAGGAAACAAAAACATTAATTTAAAAGATATGTGCACCCCTATGTTCACTGCAGCATTACTAGTAACAGCCAAGATATGGATGTCCATCAATAGGGAATGGATAAATAAGATTCAGCGCGCGCGCACGCGCGTGCGCGCGCACACACACACACACACACACACACACACAGGAATATTATTCAGCAATGCAAAAGAATGAAATATTGTCATTTGTGATAACATGGATGGACCTAGAGGGTATTATGCTAAGTGAAATAAGCCAGACAGAAAGACAAATACTCTACTTGTGGAATCTAGAAGAAACAAAATGAATGAACAAAACAAAACAGAAACACACCCACAGGTATAGAGAATGAGCTGATGGCTGCCAAAGAGGAGGGAGTGGGAGGGATGGGAATAAAAAACAAAAACAAAAGAAACAACTTTAAAAAGGGAAAAATTTAAAGAAAAGCACTTAAGGGATATTCTTTATAAAAACTGAAATGCTTTATGAGCATCTTTTCCTTCAGAAGAGGCCCTAGTGAAATATGTAAAATCAGGAGACTCTATACCTTGCCTGGAGACGAGCGATGAGTATGGGACTTCATAAACCTAATCCCAAACCAATCTGTAGCAACGAGTTTTTGTCTTTCTGTGTTTTCTTGTTTGTTTTATTTTTATGTAGTATCAAGTATACAACTCAAAGTTAACAGTGGAGTTTTCTTCCTTTTAATGCTTACATATTGGGTTGAACCATGGGTAATCACTGACATTACACCATTTTGCCTATAAAAGGTCAATTTCATATAATTTAACCTAATATTATCTTTGTGTAGATAATAATTATACTCCTCAGTCTAATTATTCTATTTTGTATCACAACTGCAAACCGGTCATGTGTTGATCACACAGAATCATCCTCCGGAAGTCCTGCATACGCTGTATCCCTGAGTTAGGGCCCATTAGCACAGACCAGCAGCCTGTGGCCCCTCTGGATTACCATCTAAGGACGGACACCCGCTGTCGATTGCTAGGCAGCAGTATGCCCAGCTCCATAGCACACAGCCGGCCGAGAACAGCTGGACTCCTCAGGCCAGGACGCTCTGCAAAGCTCGAAGGGTCCTGGCAGGGAGAGTGAGTCTGCAAGTGTGGTCGAAGGTTTTAGACGATGCATGATTTCAGTTGTAGTCTGCTCTCTGCCTCGTAAGAGGGCAGCACATCTTCAAACCTCCTAGTTTTTGCTCCTCTCACTACAGGGGCCAAATCCAACTCACCAGAATTTGTGAATTTCAGCAGCATGCCTTTCAGCAGTGACACCGTCACAGTAGTGCCCCAAAGACATGCCATTCCTCTCATTTGTTCTTATGATTAGCAGTATCGACAACAGTGATCGGCCTTGCAAAGGGGAACAGACTCAATCGAAAGGCTGAGCCTCTCAATTTCTGAAGACTTTGGGTACCCCGAGTAAATAAATGATCTGTATGGAATTTTTACAAACAAAACTACAAGTATTAGAAATACTTCTGAATGTCTGCATGATCCACCAGGAAGGATTAACAAAGGGAAAATGACTGCTTTTAAGGAGAGCACTACAGCAAGTTCAAAACCGCAGAAAGGCAATTAACAAAGAAGAAAGTATGTTCTGTGACAGCAGGTGAAATGCCATCTGGTGGCACCTTGAGAGGAGATGAACAGTGATTGTGGGTTAGGCTGAGCTCTGGGTCCTCCAAGTGAAGGCTTTTCAGGAAATTGTGCTGCGCTGCTCCCCCTTGTGGCTAGTTAGACACATGAACAACATGGCTTTTTGGACAAGGTTTTCTTTTCTATGCTAAAATGTTAGGCTATTTAGCCCACTTTTTATCTCCTCTCCCACACTTAAAAAAAAGAAAAGAAAAGAAAGGATTGTCCCAAATAATGAAATGCCACTTAAATGTCAAAGAAACTTACTGTGGTAGAATCGAAAGAAAGGATGTCCACAACAGGGGGCGTGGAGGACTGCAAGCCAATGACCTCGAGCTTCGGGTTGATCTGTGTACATACACATGAGAAGAGTTACTATCAGAAACTTACACCATGAGAAACTGGATGCCGTTTGTAAAACTTAGAGGGCATTTCCTAATATATTCTAAAATTAAAATACACTGGTATATTCTTTAACATGGATGCAAAAATTTTAAACAAAATATTAGCCTATCAAATCTATCAATGTATAAGAAAAGACCATCATGACCAAGTTGAAATTATTCCAGAAATAAAAAGTTTAATTTTATATTAAAAAATCAATATAATTCACCTCGTAAGGGGATTTTAAAAACAAAATAAAATAACCCACCTCATAAGACGCAGAAAAAAGTCCTAGCCAGGTTATTAACACAAGAAAAGGAAATAAAAGGTGTTAAGATGGAAGAATTGGAACAGAAGAAATAAATCTGTCATTATATATAAGATAATTGTCTATGGAGAAATCCCCAAAGAGTCTAGTGCTATATCATTAAAACTAAAAGAAAGTTTACTAAATTGAAAATCAAAATACAAAATAAATTGTATGTCTGTACTTCAGGATAGAAATGTACATTTTATTTTTTATTTTATTTTATTTTTTTTATCCTCATCCGAGGACATTTTTCCATTTTTTGTACAGATAGAGTGGGAGGGAGAGACAGGAACAGAGAGAGAGAGGGAAACATCGATGTGAAAGGGACACATCGAGTGGCTACCACCCGCACGACCGACCAGGGCCGGGGACAAACTGCAACCGAGGTACGTGCTCTTAGCGGGAACCGAACCCGGGTCTCTCCGGACCGCAGGCGGACGCTCTAACCGCTGAGCCAAACCAGCCAGGGCTAGAAATGTACATTTTAAAAAGATATCATTTATAATACCATAAAAAATTAAAACATCAGAATAAACATATAAAGATGGGTATGTACTATATGGGAAAAAAAATAAAACTCATGCAAAGACAAAATAAAAAGTCTAACATAAGGAGATCAAATGCAGAGCCCTGTGTACATAGAAAATAAATTCAAAAGGAAAATGGTCCCTAAAATCAGTAGAGGAAAGATGATTTACAGTTGAGAAAACTGGCTCATTATATGGACCCCTGACTTATATACTACATACAAAAGTGGATAACAGATCAACTAGAAACCTAAGTGTTATGTAAAATTAAAAAGTTAATAAAGAGAAATGTATATCTTTGTGACCCAGGGTCGAGAAGGACTACTTAAACAAAAGCTGCAAAAGCAAAATCATAAGGAAAAAGAAAGAAAATAAAGGCTGATTATATCAAAAGTAAGTTTCTGTTTAACAACGCATCCCACAAAGTTAACTCACAGATACTGGAACAGAAGGAGGTAGTATGATGTCTAAGACTAAAAAGGGCAGATATCAAAAATATGTAAGAAAAACCTACAAATCAATGTGAAAAAGACAGAAATCCCAAGAAAATAAATTATAGAAACGAAAACCTGACAGTTAACCAGCATATAAAGAGATTTTCCGAAACATTAGTAATTAGAAAAGGTTAAAGCAAAATACCACTTGACACCTATTAAACTGCAAAAACTAGAAGCTTGATGATGCCAACATCAGTTACAGCTCCATTGTTTGTAATGGCAAAGAGCAAAAGTAACCCCTGACCAGAAATCTCCAAATGTTTATCAACAGTAGGGCATATACATGCGTCGTGGGGATTACTACATGGTAAAGTCACGGGAATCCCGTACAGCTGCAAAAGGAGCGAACTAGAATTCTGTGCAATGATACATGAATGTACAGATTCACAGTACATACATATGAATCTCAGGATCTTAATGTTAAATAAAAAAAGCAGGTACAGAAAACTATATTCAGTAGGATGTCATGTATATGAAGTTTAAAACCATCAAGAAGTAAATCATACCTATATGCTATAGATTCAAACATATATAGCATATTTTTAAAAAGCAAAGGAACCACTAGTGGCGACTACTTCTAAGTGAGGTTACTTCCAAATTTGAGAAAATAAAAATAGACCACATCATCACCAAATATTTATTAAACATTACGAATACAAAGAAGTGAACACAGGGCAACAAAGACAGCAGAACTGTATGAAATGAATGACAACAACAGTAAGTGCACTGAAGAACCACAAGGAAGAAACTGTTGACTGAGCACCTGGTGAGAGGGTGAACAAGGAGGAAACAGAGTGTAAGATGGCTCCTTTAAATAAGGTTCGGAAAACAAACCAAAACAGAGACACAGTGATGGGGTGAAATGCATTTCTGGGCAGAGGTGAATTGTGACATGACTTTTGCACAGGGTAGCTATTATAGGTCAGCAAGGGTCAGATTATGAAGGGTGAAGGAATTTGGGAAGGCACAGAAAAACTGGAGGCTAAAATGTGCTTTAGGAGCATTAACTGAACAGAGACATGCAGAGAGAGTATCAAGAATAAAGCAGGGGTAACAGTGAGGACCCTACGGTGACAGTCCTGGACTGTGGGGAAAAGGGCTGAGCCAGAGGTTAGAGGAGTGGAATGATTTTAAAAGTGCTTATCCTGTTTGAAGGCTATAGCTGTAGTTTTGGAAATATTAAGGAGCTTTTATAATTATCCAATGCATTGTGTTAGAGGCAGACGTATACATGCTCAGTAATCCCCACTCTGCGGTAGATGAGACCTTGCAGGGTGAGAAGGGGGAACTACTCGCCCAGCCGGTTGACACCCGTGTTCCTTCCTGGCTTTTCCTAGAGCAGACACACAGCCCCATCCTGTCCACTCTGAAGCCAGACTTAGGGCAAAGACAAGAAACCTGGGCTCGATAACTTTCCATCCTAACCAGCGGTCCTAAGAGACTGCTTTGCAAACACTGTATTCTCTTTTATCTACTGCCACCTAGTGTAGATAGGAAATTGTTTACCTATGACAAATACAATCTGGTTTTACCGCCTGAAATTGGAACTGCTCAAAAAATCTAAATCACATGAAGATAACTGGTCAGCATCTCTCATTGAGAAATCCTTGAACTTCTACAAGTTGAGAAGCTGCTGAAGTAACAGTATTTTGTTGTATTGTGGCACAGGTTGCTGTCACATACGTTACATAGAACAGGAAATTCTTACTAAGTAAAAGTTTAGTCTTCTCCATAAAGAAAATATGTTGTGGACAGGGCGGGGGTGACACTCACTGTTGAGTTCTTTGTTGGCTAATCTCCAGAAGTACTAACAGTACCCTTTGGCTTTCCATTGTATCAAAGGGGAGAAATCTTTTATAATAATTCGTTGCCTTGAAACAAAGTGGGCTGCCTTATGAGACGCTGGATTCTCTCTCACTGAACAGGGCATACAGTCGCCCCTGGTTTATCGCGGTCGATCCATGCCAGACTCCAGCGGTTGCACCTGGCGTTGAAGGACTCCTGGGGCGCTCGAATACATAGGCCTACAGTCCATACGTACAGTCATTTTAATTTTAATTATAATACAGGGGTGTGTAATTGACTCAGACAACCGAGCACGTGCTGCATCATTTTCACTGTCTCAGTCAACTTTTTAATGAATATATTTGAAAAAACCGTGATCGAGTGAAGCCGCGAACGTGAGCGCGAAGTGGCGAGGGACGACTGTATCATTGAGGGATTCATGCATGAAGAGGTTAGTCTAGATGACCTCACAGGAACCCCCCACTCTGAGGTTCTCTGTGTCCATCACACCTAGGAGTCCATGAACACAAACACCGCTACTACCGCGTTCCCAAGGGCAAGGAGTCTGTCCATGGTGTTCCCTGTTGCCTACCCTAAAGTTACTACAGTGTCCAGTACATAGACACTTAATATGTTAGCAGGATGAAATTTAATTTTGATTATACTGAAGCATTACATCAAAATGGCTGAAAGTGCAGAGTGAAACCAGAGTGCCTGGGTTGACCTGCCAGCGCTCACTTGCCAGCTGGACGATCTCTCTGCCGGGCCTCAGTTTCTCGTGGGACAACACGGTGCTGCTCCACAGAGTTTCTAGGAAGACTGACTGACTTCACTTGTGTAAAGGAATTAAAATAATGTTGTATGTGTTTGATATTATTATTACTACTATTATTATCATGCACTCTCTGAAGGACAATTATTGAGGCCCAAAATAATATAGCCATATACTACAGCTAGAACTAAAATACAAATTTGGTAGAGAAGTGGTCATTTTTTATCATAAGTTATAATGTTTTCAACTCTTATGAAAGATTGAGATAAGGTCATCCTGACCTACCATACAAAGCGACCCAGCCAGCTGACTGCTTTCTGGGGGCAGCCAAGCAGAGCTACTCAGACAAAACTGTTGATGTTTTAAAGAAAGTTCAGCACTTCTTTTTTTTTTAAATCCTCACCTGAGGATATTTTTCTTTTTATCTTCAGATAGAGACTTGAAGACTTAAATTGATCACTTAGAGTTTCCAACAATGCATCGTGGCCATATTATTATACAAATATTTGGTTAAGTTAAAAGAAGTTTTCCTTCCTAGTAAATATCATACAGAATTTCCAATGCAATTTACAGGTTAAGATCATCTTAAATAGCCATTATAAAATTAAAAGCCAGTAGAGCAATTATTTTATTAATAAAGTCTTTAAAACTAATTAACCATAATCCCTTCCTCTAATATCCTGCAATTCTCCCAGAATAACTATTTTGACGCCTTCCTGTCACCAAGATCTACCACCTTCCCTCAGTGTGACTCTATTGTCTTCCTATCAAGATAAGCTGGGGTGCTGGATATCAAGTGCCCTGCCCTCACATTGAGCTCCTCCTTCAAGATGGAAAGTCTGCTTGTGTTTGGGGGCAGGGCTGTGCAATGTAGCTCGAGACAGTCTGGAGAAGATAAAGTCAGCGTGACCTAGTGATGTGCCACAGCGCAATGGGGGTAGGGTTAAGACATACTATTTAGAAATTAGGCTTCTTTCCTACCAGACAAAAGAAAGAAGTGGTTCTCAGGTTTCAGACAGAGTGCCTAGGCCATGAGCACCACAGCGGACCTGCAGGTCGATCCACAGGAAGGAGGCAGGAGGGGTCTACTTCATGCAGTGAGGTAAGGACTGTATGCTTCACATCTTCTTTCATGCTTTCAACTGAGCTTCTCTCATGTGTTCTGAAAGCAAACTGCTGTCGCCCTGTCTACCCACGTAGACATTAGTGATTTATTTATGTACACTTAGTCAGCTGGCACCCCAGGTCTAAGATTCTGCAGGACCCCCACCTCCAAACGAGTGGAGCACGTAAGGCTGGCTAATGGGTGCCTTGTGCAAAGGGCCAAACAAGCTCACCCAGGAGACTGCAATGATGCAACTCAAATGAGCGTCACAGAAAACACAATAAATTGAAAAGCACAGAAATGCTACATTGCTTCAAACTCAGAAATGAAACATTCATGGTTACTGCAAGAAGAGAAAGTTTGTGAAATTAATTAGATCACAGATGCCATTTATTCTACATCCTCTCATAACACGTTTGTTCTTTTAGCCATGAATTCCAACCTCAAAATATTTTTTGCTAATTTTTAAACATTTCCAAAGTAACATGTAAGGTGACTTTCCTTAAAGATTTGAAAAATAATTCAATCCACAAAATTTAGTAAAGTAAAATTTACTTAATCTAAATGAACACACAGTGTGATATCTAGTCTGATTCATACTATTCTATTTTAGGTGATATTTAAAGTTAAAAAAATAATTTGATATTTAATAATTATTAATAATATTTAAAAAATAAATTAAACAATTGGTTATTCATATGCAGAATCCGATCACTTCTCTGGGATTTTATATTACATGATATGAACATATTTTACAAATATGTCACCTTGTATACTTATTAAGCAACCATAAGTACTTACAGATAATGTAACTAGGTACACTCAGGCCAATTTTCCTAAGGCCACAAATAGTCACAATACTCAACATTCCGTAACTGAACTCTAATTCCAAGATGAAAAGTCAGTTTTCTAAAAGGTTTTTAAAGTGTATATGTGAAAAATACTGTAGAGAGTACGCTCTGCACGGCCCGGGTCATCCTGACCTACCATACAAAGCGACCCAGCCAGCTGACTGCTTTCTGGCTGCAGCCAAGCAGAGCTACTCAGACAAACTTGTTGATGTTTTGAAGAAAGTTCAGCACTCCTGTTTTATTGTTTAACCCTCACCTGAGGATATTTTTCTATTCATCTTCAGATAGAGTGGGAGGAAAAGGGAGGGGGGAGAGGGTGAGGAACGGCGGGTGGCTGAGCGCAGGCCCGGGCAGCAGCCACTGGGATGGATGAGCTCAGCCAGCCACAGTAATGCCAGAATAGGAAACACGGGGAGAGTTAGTAACACCAGCTGGGGCTAAACAAGGGAAAAAAACCTCAAAATATATTTTACAATATATGTAATATTCTATGTGAATACATGTCATCACAGGGGATCAAAAATATGTCTATCGTTATAAAAACAGAAACACATATATGACGAACCACAAACAAATTACATTATATTCTTTCTTTCAAAAAAATAAAAGGAGTAGTAAAGCATAATGGTCAAAACTTTATTTAGAAGAACTAGAAAGAAAGTCAAAGTTGGAAGGGACCAAAATTATAGCAAAGAACTGAAAATAAACATTACCAAGGAAAAACCAGAATAGAAATCACAAAATGTGGCTACATTAAACAAAACATAGAAAATAGTCCAAAAAATTGAAGAGTTTTAAAAACTTAAACTTACACACACACACACACACACAACCTGAAACTGACAGACATACCTGAGAAAACAGCAAGACCAAGACTAAGGAAACCAAAATCACAGAATCGATCGGGGCAGGCAGAGACCGTGGAGGGGGTGAGCACGAACACTACACGGGGTGCCCATGCACTGCAACCCAGGAGTAAGTCTTAGGACTCAAAACACCTCCTCGAAAAGCAAAGAAAGGCTCTGTCAATGATAAAACAATTTCAGGTGAACGGGAAATAATGATTTAGCATTAATTCTTGGAAGAGAAAAGGGCTTAAGGAGAATCATGCAAAATAAAAAGTAGCCAGCAAAGATGATTTTTTTTTTTTTTTGGAGAGAGAACATTTCAATCGATAGGACCTAAAGGAACTTGTCAACAAGAACCTGCAGCTAAATAGATCATTATATACTCGAAAACATAGGTAAGCAAATAGCAAAATGGTTTCAATTATTAGGTTTAATGATCAAATCTCTTCTTTGCATTGTCCTTAAGATTTTCTTCTTTGTTATGAAAGGACTTTAAGATACTTCTTTCAATAACTGTCATACAAAGTAATGCCCTTGAGCCTGTTCTCATGGGCTCCCTAAACACATCTAGAATAGGAAGTTTGTTCAGACTTCACCATCACCAAAGGCCTTAGATTTATTTATCCTCATGTCCTACTATTATTAACTCAGTTTTAAAGTTTTATTTCTTTTTCACTTTTTTATTCCTCACATGAGGATATTTTTCTACTTATTATCAGATAGAGAGAGACAGAGGGAGACAGAGAGAATCATCGACGTGATAGAGCCACATCGACTGGTACCCTCCCGCATGACCTGACCAGGGCCAGGGACGAATGGCAACTAGGTACCTGGCCTTGACCGGAACTGAACCTGAGACTCATCAGCCCATGGGCCGACGCTCTAACCACTGAGCCAAACTGGTCAGGGCTGTTTTATTTCTAAGTCTTCAAGAAGCAAATATGAGAGGCTTAGCACTGTTACACAGTACCATATTTAAAGTTTTATTAGTAAAAATAAGTGTTTCTCAAGGTTCTGCTGTTTTAAGGCAGAACTAGGTTTTATATAATTAAATATAATTTCAAGCATCTAGTTGACCAGTTGCCCCAAAATGTACACTTGCAAAGAGCAGGACAAATATGCACAAAGTACTCACTTCAACAGTCTCGGTTTTCTCCTCATGGTTATGTGGTGTTCTCGGGTAGATGTCAAAAAGATGTGGTGGCGAATCAAAATGTAACCTTTTGAGATTTCTTTTAGTAAAATTTTTATAATTCAGTTCATCAAAGTTAGTCCTCCATAATAAAACCTGTTACAAAAAGTAACCATGTTGGCTATTATTGACTTGCATATACAAGCAATAGAACTGATTTTTTTAAAAAATGAATACATAGGAAGGTCTCTCTACATAGGAACACTAGATATATATTTCAATAACATTATGACTTCTCGATAATTTTTTAAGGGTTGATCAAGAGATTTAGCCTTTTGAACTGCCTTTGTGTCCAGTTTAAAACTCAAATTAAGAAAATAACTTATCCTCCTAATAGTCTTTTTTCCCAAAGCCCGAAAACTATGTTGTCTACCTTATCTAATAAATCTAGCAATGAATGACTTTTGGCTATTTCAAGTAAATGCAAAATTGCTGCATAAAAATGTATATTTACTATCCTCAAGAACCTTAACATGTGAAACCTAAAACATACAGACAAAATACCAGGCAACAGTTCAAGGGAAATGCCACACCAATACTGGGCATATAGTAGGTCTCAGTTACATGCATAATTAAGTGTGAAGATAAGCAAAGAAAGTATCTGCTGTTTGAATTCCAAATATGATGAGAACTGGCACGATTTCAGTCATGAAACAGCAGATTTCCTGGCATTAAGTTAAAATACAAACTCACTGATACTCATCTTAACACACACAAACTAGTTGGTTATAGAAATCTCCGCCGAGGTCTTGGATTCCTCCACCCGACCTAACCCGAGAGGGAGCTGAAGGACGGACAAACCTGTGCATCCGCACCTCCCGACGAGAACTGCTCTCCACCTTTTGAAAACGAAACAGTAAAGACAGGTCCCTAAGACATAAATGGAGATAAAAGAAAAGGTACTTGGTGATGTTTTCCCATGACCAAGAGTACTGTGAATATTCATTTTTTTCTTCCTGATTTATGTAGACTGTTTGTGCCACGAGTCTGAGAGAACATATCCAGTTGCTAGCAACTAATGCAGGCAGCGTGAAGATAATCAAAGAACCAACCCAATTATATGAAAACACCCATAAATGATATTAAGTAAAAAAGAAATTCTAATAAAAAATTTCAAATATACTTTTTCTTTTTCCTTTAAAGAAAAGCTTGTACATGTGTAAGTTAACAAGAATTTCTGTTAAGACTTTCTGATTTTGGATCTTTAGTCAACACATCACTAGCAGAAACTGAACGATAACCCTGAGAGTGATGAGAATAAACCACACGAAAACAGGCCATTTTCTGTCTACAACAGGATTCCCTGAGTCCCCTTCATGTGGGCAGCAGTGAGCCACTAATACTTTTAAAAGCAGGATATGGACAGCAGAAGAGCTGTGATGAAAACTGATATCACAAACATTTTATAAAGTACGTGACTGTCTAACCACCATGCTGTGTACCTGAAACTAATACAAAATAATACTGAATAGCCCTGGCCGGTTTGGCTCAGTGGTTAGAGCTCTGGCCTGTGGACCAAAGGGTCACAGGTTCAATTCCGGTCAAGGGATGTACCTGGGTTGCAGGTTCGATCCCGGGCCCCGGTTGGGGTTGTGAGGGAGGCATTCGGTTGATGTGTCTCTCTCATATCAATGTTGCTCTCTCTCTTCCTTTCACTTTCTCTAAAAATCAATGGAAAAAGATCCTCAGGGGAGGATTAATCAAAATAATAATAATAAATGAAAACTGATGTCACAATTTGAGATGATGAGTCGAAGTAGGAATGAATGGCTGGAGGCCAGCTAGGGTTACTGCAATGATCTGGGTGAGCGGCAGTGAGCACCTGGGACTGAGCAAGGACTGTGACGTTGGACAAGACGGCACTTGGCACAGACACAACATCACAGACTCAAGGTCAGTTTCCAACCCAGACATCAGCACGTTCTGCTTTGTTAATACGTCCTTAATCTATACAAGGACACTTCTGGGAAAAACATCTTCTATCTTTAAAGTAGATTATCCTTCAGATTTATGTTATTGCAGCCTCACAAACATCTCCTCCTCCAGATTGTGAAAAATTCTATCTTGTGTATAAATTTTTCTCCTAAAATACTGTTTATCTTTTTTTTTTTTCCTTCTATTAATCTATTTCCATGGATAGTTTAACCCCTGGCTACTTGCATTGGTTATTTATTCAGCTTAAATCTGTGGATACGTACATATGAGTTGGCTGGTGTCTATTTCTGCTTCATGTTAATACCACTGCAGAGCCAATGACAAAGAAAAGCAGGAAGCCAGGCAGGATATATGAAGGCAGAAAAAAATCCCATTTCCCCTAGACCACAAAGCCCATTCTATTTCTGGATTTAAACTGCTCATACTTGGTTAAAAGGAAGTATCTAGTACTTTAAAAAACAACAACAATGTATTCTAAAAAATTCAGAGAAGTTTGAATATTTACCCAGAAAGAAGGAATTGGTTTATACACTTAAAAAGGTTTTTCTTTAATGTGTTATATACCAGGGTGTGTGTATGTGTGATTCTAAAAAATTCAGAGAAGTTTGAATATTTACCCAGAAAGAAGGAATTGGTTTATACACTTAAAAAGGTTTTTCTTTAATGTGTTATATACCAGGGTGTGTGTATGTGTGATTCTAAAAAATTCAGAGAAGTTTGAATATTTACCCAGAAAGAAGGAATTGGTTTATACACTTAAAAAGGTTTTTCTTTAATGTGTTATATACCAGGGTGTGTGTATGTGTGATTGAACAGACTCAATAAACAGGAACTCTCTTCCCCACTGGGTTCTAAACCAATTGAGAAATAAGACAGAGAAATGAGGCATATGAGAGCCATATTTACTGATAAAGGTTTGCAAACAAAGAATGTGGCTTTATCTGTGGGTAAATGGACTTTCTAGGACTGAATCCCAGCAAGAGTCAGATGCGAGGCCCCCCAACAAGAAGGATCTGAGGACAGGCGAGGGCAGGCTGACTTCCGCACGCAGAAGGCACTGGGCTCCGCTGGCTGCATGTCCCCTTGGATCTCCCCAGGTCAGGGAAAGGAGCGGCCGCAGGGTGGGAAAGGCCAAGAGCGTCAGAGCTGGTGGGGCAGCCTCCCCCGGAGACGGAAGGTCAGGAGGAGGAAAAAATGTACCTGTCAGCCCTTCACCAGTTACACTGCATCCTGATGAAGACAGTGGTGAAGGATTAACTTAGTGGCTATAAAAGATACACAATGATTTTGACAAGAATTACAATAAATAATATTTCTAAGAGTTGCTTCCAGAGGATAAAAACACCGCCTTGGAAGCAAACATATTTTTATGATAGCAGTAATGTGTACTACACTTGGAAAAATAACAAAGGCATATAATACAATGGGTCAAAACTTTAAAATATGTATTATTTAAAAGACACAAATCTTAGCGTGAGTACCGTGTGTCCTTGAAGTGTATATATGAGCCTTCCTTCTAGTAGATCCAGAATCTTCAGGGTCCCGTCTGAAGAAGCGGTGATGACATAGTGACCCGAAGGATGGAATGATAAACAATTAACTCCGCCGCTGTGAACTGATTTGTAGAAAATAAAGCAAACGTTTTAGAGAACATTTCTTCATTCTAAAGATGCCCCTTTGCCCTATTAGCGATATTAGGTTGAAAACAAAAATCAGTTAGAGGCCATGACTCCACAACACCAAAATTCCATAGAGCTCACTAAAACAAGTAAGTAGTTTAGCATCATACAGCTTACGTATCCAGCTAATGAGACAGAACAGCTTTCAAAATGGGAAGATAACTAGTAAGGCTTCAGATACTTTAACAACATAACCGATAGTTGATTACTACTGGCTCACGTAAGGTATACAACCTTGCCTTAAACTAAATTTAGTGATCAATGAGTAGGTTGGTACCAAGGGGTGAAGAGTGTGGAGATGTATTTGGAGAAGGGCACAGTCTTGTCAGTTTGAGAATTCATTTCTGGACACCGTCCTTCCAATAGGAGGCAGTGTAACACAGTGATGGAAAGTTTGTAAACAGAAAGACCCAAGTTGGTTTTATCAGTTCTTTTCATAGAAGTCACCCTCTCGAAGCCTCCATTTCCTTATCTTTAAATTGGGGGTAATAATAATACCTCCCCTTAGGGCTATTGTGAGGACTTTTCAGTGTCAGTCACATGGTAAATCTCACACTTATTATGTCTGAGAAATGTGGATTTAACATAAGTCCAATGTAAACCAAGTCACTGATTCATTTCTCTCTTAACTTCGATGCACAGACACAGTAAGATGTTGCTTCCTACCAGTTATGACGAGTATTTGTGCCAATTTATATCCCTGACTTCTCATTAATGCAAAGAACCAGAGTTTGCAAGTCTTTCTTTTTTCTTCTTTACTTTGCAGTCCAAGCATCATGTCCAAGGCCCCTCACCCCCCTCTCCACGCGGGCATGCACCCCGGCCTCGCGGACCACTCGCGGGTGGGGGTGACCGCTCGTTGGGCAGGTCAGAGGCAGCCCACGACTCCGACCAGGAGGCCGGGCCACACTGCGAAGGGCGGTCTGTCGGCCGACGTTCCCGGGACTCCCCTGAATTCTTACAGAAACGGTACCTTGATAATGCTGGAGTAATTTGTTCAATCTTATATCCCAGATTTTCACAGTATGATCAGAACCCGCTGAAGCTATGCATGTACCGTTAGGGTTAAAATCCACAAAATTGGCAAACCTAGGAGAAAAGAATACGATGGTCTTATACTTGGATTTCTTTATTCGAACTGTAGTAATTAAATGTCTCCTTAGCAAACTATGCCACATAAATGCACCAACAGAGTGGACTTACCCTACAGAATCTGAGAAGTTACTGACACACTGCTTACTTGTGGTGTCCCAAATTTTAATAGTTTTATCTTCACTACATGATACAATTAGTCTTCCGTCTGGTGAAAATCTGGAAAGCACAGCAAAGAAGAATGGTTTTGTGAAAGGCTGCTGATCATCACAATCCAGCCGCCCCTCCCCCACCACACACGAGCCAGGCTGGACTCACTAAACACGAGAGACTACTGTCACCACACTGTGCGGGAAGCTGTACTCTGCACCCAACATCTTTTCCACTAAAAATAAGCATGACAAATGACACTGACAGGCCAGTAAAAGATCAAAGTATCCCAGTGGGGTTGGCTCAGTGAACTGAGCTAGTCCCATGGACTGAGAGGTCCCTGTTCGATTTCTGGTCCGGGCACATGCCCGGGTTGTGGGCTCGATCTCCCTTAGGGGGCGTGCAGGAGGCAGCTGATCGATGTTTCTCCCTCACACGATGTTTCTCTCTCTCTCCCTTTTTTTCCTCTCTAAAAAAATCAATAAAAACATATTTAAAAACAAAAAAGATCAAAATGTACTATGTAGATTAACCAAGGTTCTTCTCCTTTTATTTAAATAATTTAGTCTTAGGGCATCTGTTCTAGGTCCTCGATTCATCTCTATACTCCTTCCAGCCAAGTACTTTGCTTTTTAAAAGTACTCTTCCCTTCTTTCTTCTATATCTGTCATTTTCTGGTGTTTTCCGTATGACCCAAGAGAGCCTTTATTATTCATCCTCCCAACCCTGTAGTTAAACTTTTTGTAAGAAACAGACTTGTGTGTTTAGAATTAAAATTAGCCCAGCCAGTGTGGCTCAGTGGATTGAACGTCATCCCACGGACTGGGAGGTCCCGGTTCGATCTCCAGTAGGGGGCATGGAGGAGGCAGCTGGGAGATGTATCTCTCTCACAATGATGTTTCTATCTCTCTCTCCCATCCTCTCTGTCTAAAAAATCAATTAAAAATATTTAGAATTAAAATTAAATGATATCATCAACAAAAAGAACCAACTCCCGCCCTGGCCAGTGGCTAGAGTGTTGGCCAGTGGCCTGAAAGTTTAATTCTGGTCCAGGGCACAGACCTGGGCCTTGAAGGAGGCAACCAATCGATGTGTCTCTCACACCGACGTTTCTCTCTCTCTCTCTCCCTCCCTCCCTCCCTCTCCCCTCCCTATAAGGGGAAAAAAGAAAAATATCCTCAGGTGAGGATTAACAAAAAAATAAGAAAGAACCACCCCGCTGCACCTATACATTTCTGGACGTGGGGAGGCCCGAGCTCCAGGGACCGAAAGCAGGACACCCCCCCCCCCACCCGCAGGAAACAGTCCCTGGGGACACACCCGTCATCCACGGCCGTTCGAAACCATGGCAACCCCTGGACAGCCGGCTACTCTGCTTATGCTCTCGTGCCACTTTAAGATCCTTTCCAAGGTTCTTCCCCCCCAGGTGCCTTAAGGATAGACAGAAGAGCAGAAGACACTCCCCCAAATTTTAGGTTACTAGGAAACTATGAATGGTGTTTGTGTTATTAATATTTTAGCAGTACCAAAACTAAAAAAGACAAATTCAGGTCATAGATTGATTATGTTTCAATTTTATTTGTATTTCCCTCTTTGCTCAGATTACTACAAGTCATCAATTATAGGTGTGGATTGTAATTAAAGACTTTTCTTTTTATTCTCTCTCACTCTGTCCTCTCCTCCCTCCCTGATTTTAAGGCTGACCTAAGAATAATTCTTCCTGACAGAAACTGAATCTGGCATTTAGGGATTCACTATACATACATACTTATATGTGTATGTATACATACATATGTATGTATGTGTGCATATATATATATAACACAGAAGCACAGTTATGTTCTACATAAAATAACCTTTAAAAATTCAAGAAAATAACTTGCAAGAAAATATCTTCCATGCTGGTAGCTCAGCGTGATTTTATAATAACAATATATATTATTAATCTTTTCCAATGGAAAAATATGTGATGAAGACTCAAATATGAAGGACAATATTATAGAAATGCTCCAAATAGATGAGATTTATTTTACACAGACCCTGGACATGAAAAACCTACTCAGTATCCCCATGAAAATAAACTTTACATAATAATGTAAACAATTGCCCTGGCCAGTTTGGCTCAGCGGTTAAAGCGTCGGCCTGCGGTCCGGAGAGACCCGGGTTCGGTTCCCGCTAAGGGCACGTACTTCGGTTGCAGTTTGTCCCCCGCCCTGGTTGGTCGTGCGGGTAGCAGCCACTCGATGTGTCCCTTCACGTCGATGTTTCTCTCTCTCTCTCCCTTCCTCTCTCTCCCTCCCACTCTATCTGTACAAAAAAATGGAAAAATATCCTCGGGTGAGGATAAAAAATAAATAAAAGAATAATTTACAGGGATTCAATAGTAGAGTAGGTAAAGCCAAGAAGGAAACCATCGATTTGGAATATAAGGAAGCACAAAAAAAAACACGCAATCATAACAGCAAAAAAAAAAGAAAAAAAAAAATAATGTAAACAATTAATGCAAAGAATCAAATTGTATTTCTTAGTAAGCTTTCTATTTACAAAATGACTTAGTGTGGCTCAGTGGTTGAGCATCGACCCATGCACCAAGAGGTCTCTGGTTCAATTCCCAGTCAGGGCACGTGCCCAGGTTGTGGGCCAAATCCCCAGTGGGGGGCATGCAGGAGGCAGTCGTTTGATGTTCTCTTTCATCGATGTTTCTATCCCTCTCTCCCTTCCTTTCCCTCACAAAAAATAAATAAATAAATAAAAATAATAAAAAGAAATGACTTAATGTGACTATTCTGAACAGTGAGACTATTCCTGAAATGACTGGATTCTTACATTTCAAGAAAGCAATGATGAAAAATTTAATCAAATGGAATGATCAGATTAAAAATAAAGTACAAAAGTCCTCGCCCTACAACATGACTGGCCAACTCCTACCTCCACCACCATCATCAGTACCCCGCTAACCCTCCAGCACCCTACCGGACAGGTGGCACCGCCAGCCTCCTGGTGCAGACGCACAACTGGGCACATCCAGGATCAGGAACTGCCAGCGTCACACAGCCAGGACGGCAGAACCGCACAACCTGGCTCCACAGCGACACCTGTCAGTCACTCTAAGTCTCTGACAGAAAGGGGGCTTCTTCCACTGGCCACAGCGTTTGGAGCACAGTCGTGTGTGGCTTCTGTGTCACCACAGAAGGTTTCACAGTGGAGAACCAGGAGGCAGTGCTCTTCAGATGGGACTGGGCTCTGATGGGCTAACCACTAGACTATCCTTCAGTAAACGTCTGAGTGTGCCACCATCTGCTGTCAGTGTTCTAGAGGGTTTGTGGGGAGGACATTCATATTCCAGTCAGTCAGTCCGTCAGTCAAATATTCACTGAGCACCTGCCAGAGCCAGGCACTGGGCACCGCCCTCAGTCGGAGGAACACAGTGGCGAATAAAACTAAGATCCTTGTCCTCATGAGGTTTCCAATCTAGGAAGGAGGAAGGAGGGACAGCACACAAATAATATAGTTTTAGACAGTGACAAGAAAACAAAAAGGTGCCAATTTATCATTAGAAGCTCCATAGAAGAAACACGATTTTAAAGAAACTGGTGAATAAGAAAAAGGAGGTATACTGGCCAGATAGAATTCATCCTGAGCAGGAGGGGCTAGAGAATAAGAGACATTTTTCAAGCCAGAAATGTATCTTGAGTAGGAAGGGTTACAGCCTGAGAGAAATTTCCCTGTGCTAAAGAAAGTGTTGTGGCGCGACAGAGTCAAAGAAAGACCACTAGAGAACTGAAGTCCAAATCAGAGCCGGCGTCTGATTCCGAACACCCCTGTGACAGAGTCTCTGGAATCAGCCCCGATATGCTTTATTACATGCCTTTTATACCGACATAAAATAGGATCTTCTTGAAATAATGTCCAGGGCTACAACAATGCTGTATAGAATTAGTTTGCCTTGAAGGTAACAGGAACACCCAGGCACACCCAGGTATTTCAAGGTACATTGGGTCACACTTTGCCCTGAGCTGCACAAACACCATGCAAGCCTGATTCCTTGAGATTGTGGGGGTGGTCGAGTCTCTGACTCAAGACCTCCAAGCTCCATGGATTCTGTTAAACACGTAGCTGGCTCCCAACAATTTCTTGGTTCAGGGAGTATTCCAAAATTCTTTACAAAACAGGGTCAGCTAGAGGGCACAGAGTGACTTTCCCAATCATCAATTATGGAGCTATAAACAAGTCAGCACAATTTACCAATCATCAATTATGGGGTTATGAACATGTCAGCACAAAAGGAAGGAATGCACACCTCAGACAAACAGGGACGGGAGGAGGCGGCTGGGAAGAAGCTGGCGGCAGAGGGAGAGGACGCTGCCCCCTCCAACTCCGCACGACCCAGGGGGACTCAGGGCGAAGCCGCGCCCTCCTCTGGACCTACCTTATAAGCCCCATATGCTTTCCGTATGTTTTGGCCTTTGGAGGGGTTGAAAGTGAAGGTAGTGGCTTGTATCTTCTCCCCTTTTCATGTTTAATTAGATACATCAAAAATACATTAGCACCAATAAAACAGGCTTTTCTTTGCCCTGATTTTGATCAGGAAAGAAAAATCCTTTCTTTGTCAGGGCCCTGAGACGGTAATAGAGTTCTAATTCTTTAATTCAGTACCACAAACCGCCTTTTAAAACTTCCAGAGACTGTGCCACCAAGACGGATACTACATTAGTCCATAGTGACTAATGGATCAGCAGACACTGACTGTCTATAAGGCATTTGAGAAGCTGACTGAATACTCTTCAATCCTCTAAAATGTATTGGTACTCATTCGAAAGAATGAGGAAGTTCTTGAACACTTTCCAGAAAAACTGGTTCACGTGTCCTTGAAAGTAGCCCAAGAGTTACATAGTAGATCTTTAACTTGGAATCTATGGTGTTCCCAAAACTATGCAAAATTGCCTGTCTCTAGGCACAGAAACAGAGTTATTCATTCATTAGAGAGCCCAATGGGACCATGCACCATGAGAAGTTTTAAAGTGCTTTCATAAGAAATCAGAGATTTAATTGGATATTTCCTATCATTAGAATAAATATTCTATAAAAACACGTTTCTAGCCCTCAGGACTCCGAGACTAGAATGGGCATTGTCCCTGTCGTTTAAGAAACAGACCATTAGTAAGAGAGAGGCACTGTGCAGCCAGCAGCGTTGCTGGAGGGGAGACAGCAAACAGCTGTGGAAAGACTGCTGGTCATTCGGAGTCCTCAATTGTAGGGTCGATTGTGCAACTGCCCCACTCTGTAATCTTTTGCAACTTATAACCCCCCTGGCCACCACTTTCTATTTGGATAATGTGAGAGTTTGGATTGCATTCAGATCTAAAACTTTCATAGACCCATTAGAAAAAAAAAAAAAAAAAAAGGCAGTCTCAGAGTTTGCTTTGATGGGACTGTTTACATACTGAAGTTGAAGTTCAAGGCAATAAGCAAAATATTTATGTTTTTTAAGTGTTGGTCAGCATTAGAAGAGAAACCATCTGTTGATTGCAGTCACAGGATTCACTCCTGCAAATGTTGAGAGACAAAAAGCAGCTGAAAGAGGTATAAAAAAAGTTAAATATGTTAATGATGTGTTGGATCATCTAACACTGGGATCTCCACCCTTAAGTACACTTGCCTTCCGGGTGTCCCCTCCTGGATAACCTGCAGGCACCTCTGTCTCCGAACTTGTCTGGATCTGAACTCAGCTTCCTCAAACGGCTCCTTCTCCAGTGTTCCATGTCTCGGAAAATGGTTTCTGACGCCAGAAGCCTGGCAGTCATGCTTGATTCCTCCTTCTCCTCCACTCCCCCCTCCACTCCAGGACTAGTCCCTGGCTCTTCAAACCACAATGGGCCCTGCTCTCTTCCATTCTCCACATGCAACAAAAATGATGTTTAAATTGTGAATCAAAGAGTTCACATTAAAACCCTTTGGTGATTTCACAATTCCCCTTGGAAGAAGTCTGACATTCTTACCATTGCCTATCAGGTTCTCTGGGCTCTTCCCTTCTCTCTCTCTCTCTCTCTCTCTCTCTCTCTCTCTCTCTCGTGTTAATCCTCACCTGAGGATATTTTTTTCATTGATTTTTTTTTTTTTTTTTAGAAAGAGTGGAAGGGAGGGAGGGAAGGAGGGAGGGAGGGAGGAGGAGAGATAGAGACTGGGAAATGAGAGAGACACACTGATTGGCTGTCTCCCAAACATGCCCTGATAGGGGCAGGGATCCAACCTGCAATCCAAGTATGTGCCCTTGACCAGGAATCGAACCCTCGGCCCTTCAGTCTGAAGCCAAACCGACCAGGGCCCTCCTGTCTCTCCATCTTCATCACTCCCCTATTTCTGACACCACACCCCGTCTCTCAGTTCTTGATCCTGCCTCAGGTGTTTCTTCACAAGCCCTCTGTTCCCTGTGCCTCAACCACCACCCTGGCTCTTTATCTAGTTTAAATTACCTAAAAGGGTCTTACTCCTCCTTCAAGTCTCTGCTCCCCTCACTTCCTCAAGAAAAGCCTTCCTGAGCCCCTCCCCCCAGGTGAGCTCCCCAGGAGGTGTTCCGAACACAGCTCACATTCACCTGCCACCCTCACAATTGTGTGTTCTGTTTGCTTCCCTAACAAAAGTGAGCTCTAAGAAACAAGAAACCACATCTGTCCTATTCACCGCTGTGTCCCTAGACTCAGTGCATGGTACTGACTAGGTCCTCAGTAAACATTTAGGGCATAAGAAAAAACAAAACTTTTTAAGGGAACTGGTACTAACCTAATATTATAGCCAACAAGAGCATGTTTAAAATCTCTGCAATGATGTGCTCGCTTCGGCAGCACACACACTACAATTGGACCGATACAGAGAAGATTAGCAGGGCCCCTGCGCAAGGATGACACGCACGTTCGCGAAGCCTTCCATAAAAAAATAAAATCTTTGCAATTTGTCATATAACACAAACATACTTAATGCCGCTGAACTGTATACTTAAAATGGTAAACTTTGAATTATATATACTTTAGCACAATAACAATAACAAAAAAAATATTTGCAATTTAGATGGTTAAAGATCTCGTGTAACACTACCAACAAGTGAAAATTAAAAGCAGATTTCCCCCATAAAAACTAATGCTCTAAAAGCAATGATGTTGGAAAAGTTGTCTCAGCCTCTCCTTATTTTTGACTCAGAACACCATAAAGAAACTAAGTTATCTCACAGTCTACATTATTTTTAAAAACACAGGGCTACAATAATTCTAACTTTTAGAATTCTTTTGCCCCTAAAATAGATATTTCTCACCTACATATATATATTTCAAATGGTAAATGTTTTCATTACTCATTAAAGAAAAATTACTTGTTTAATAAACTAGGAAATATAGTAAGGAAAAAGGTTCACAGTCCCCACCACCCAAGCGAAACCACTTATTATTTTGTATGTAATAGGTACGTTATCTTTTGTTCATGTATAGGCCCTTTATATTATAATCATGAATTCTGAATTTTGCCCTTTCTCACCCAACATAATCATGTTCACATGTAATTTCTGCTTATAGTCCCCTTATAATGGCTACATAATAATCTAAATTTATTTAACCAGTTATCTTTATTCAGAAGAATTGCTTGTTTACAATTTTTCACTATTGTAAATTATACTGAAAGCAATATCTTTGAGTATAAATCTTTTTCCTTTGAATACAAAAGGATATTTATTTATAATAAATTCCCAGTTGTGGTGGAATCACTGTAACACACATTCCTGATATATTCTGCACACTGATTTCTAAAAAGACTATACTAACTTATATTTTTAAAGTATGAATATATTTCCCAATAGCTGGCATATCTTAAAAATATCTCTGTAAATTAAGAAGCATAGTCATAAACAATGGTTAGTCCAGAGAACATAACTGTTCATCTCTTTTTACATTAATGGGCACCATCTCTGGGCCCCATGGAGTAAGTATGGACTTTAGGAAAAAGCTCGTAAGTACTGGGCCCAAAGACAGACACAGAATTTTAGTTGCTTAAGTCCATATTTAAAATTCAAAGACTAAAGGGAGAAACAATTGCTCTAAAGACCCTCTATATTCATTTAAATACACTCTCCATGTATTTGGAGGAAGAACAGTATCACCTGGATTACTTTTTAATATTTAGTTGTTAAATTCATCTACAATTTTTGTAAATGTATGGTGTTCAATACAGATCCAAATTTATATTTTTTCCAAATAAAAATCCAATGCTCTTATAACAAAAAATAAATTAAGAAAAAAAAGAAATCCAATAATCTTAACTACCTACTAAATAGTCCATCTACACCCCCATTGATTGGCAATGCCGTCATTATCACAAAATATGTATGGGCCTGCTTCTGGCCTTTCTGTGACCTATTTTCCTAAATCCTGCACCATTTTCACCATTTTTAAATTTCTTTAGTTTTATACTGTGTTCTGAGCACTGGCTGGACAAGTCCCTTCTCATTTTTTTCTTGTCATCTTTTCCTTGGCTATTCTTGCACATGAACTCATCCATATGAATATCAAAATTAGCTCGTCAGGTTCCACTAAATTCCTTTGGCAGAACTTCCAGTTCTGGACATGTGGAGTAATGGCCATCAGACTTATATCTCTACCATAAATAGCCATACAACTGGGCAAAATAAATGAAACAACTGTTTTTAGACTCTGCACAGAAACGGCACAGGGTTGTAAATCCTGCGAGATGGAAACCAAGGACATGAGCAGCAGGGTCCCACCTGGGAGCAATCTGCAGAGCGTGGCGCAAGGACACCGAGCCCAAGCAGACAGTAGCTTTCTTGCTGAACAAAGGACACAGAAATTAGAATTCAAAACTGCTAAGAGACAGGACTTCTTGTTGTTGTTCAGATAAGTGGGAGGGAGAGAGAGGAAGAGAGAGAAAGGGAGAAACATCGATGTGAAAGGGACACATCAAGTGGCCACCTCCCACACGACCCCAAGCAGGGCTGGGGACGAATCACAACCCAGGTACTGCCCTTGACCGGAACCAAACCAGTGACTCATTGGTCCGTGGACCGATGCTCTAACCTCTGAGCCAAATCGGCCAGTGCGGGGCTGGACTTTTGAGGCAGAGAAGGAGAGAGAAACTATGATGAGCAGAATCCCCCAAAAGATCTGCCTATGAATCCCACTGAGTCTTTGGTCAAATACAAAGCTGCTTACACACAGGGAAATGTTGGCACAGAACGACTACTGGGAGATTGAGCAGAACAAAGATTACAGAGGTTACCTAGTACTGAGAGATGCTCAAATTCTGAGCAGACTTTGCTGAATCCTCCAAACATCCATCTGGCTGAGATCCTAGAAAGACTGTTAGTACTATAACATAAGAGTAAAGGCTACTCTGGATACACCCTGTGAAGTCTAAATCCAAGCCCCAACAGAATCTAGCTGGGCCAGCAATAAGATAATTGCTTCCCAGAACAAAGCTCAACTCTTTTCTAGACAATGACAGAGTAATTCATAATCTCACTTAGCAATGATTTGGGCACACAATTAAAAAAAATATCATGACACATACAAAGCAGCAAAGATGTGACGCAGACATCATAGATGTTGGAGTTAGCAGACAAGGACTTCAAAAGCAATTAAGGATATAAAGGAAAGGATGGGCATCGTGAGCAAACTAATGGAGAATCTCATCAAAGAAATGGATAAGCTTGCAGTAGACTGGGCACTGAAGGAAAAGAAAAACCCTGGCAAACTTGAGAACAGGTCAACAGAAACTTTGTAAACTGAAGCACAAAGAGAAAAAATGTTGGCGTAAATGAACAGAGCCTCTGTAAACTATGAAACATTATCAAATGTTAAAACGTGTGAATTTGGAATCCCAGAACGAGATGAGAAAGAAATTAGGGCAGAAAAATAGAGAAAAAAATGACAATTTTTTTTACAAATATGACAAAAATATGAACCCATAAATCCACACTGTTCAGTCAGCTACAAGAATAATACACAAAACCATACCCCGGTTCATCATGGTCAAATCGCTAAAAACAAAAGACTAAGAAAAAAACCTTAAAGCAACCAGGGGTAGGGGTTTTTGGGCAGGAATGTTACATATAGGGAAATAACAATAAAAACCCAAACCAACCCTGCCAGTGTGGCACAGTGGATTATTGAGCATCGTCTCATGGACTGAGAGGTTCCGGTCCGATTCCCAGTCAGGGCACATGCCAGGGTTTTGGGCTTGATCCCCAGTGGGGGGCATGCAGGAGGCAGCTGATCGATGTTTCTCTCTCACATGGATGTTTCTCTCTCTTTCTCTTTCTTCCTCTCTAAAAAGAATCAATAAAAACATATTTTCTAAAAATGCAAACCAGAAAACAATGGAATGACATTATTGAAGTGCTAAAAGAAAAATTATCCACTGAACTAGAATGCAACATCTCAGCAAAAATATTTTTTAAAAAGGATAAACAAAAAGTTGGGAGAATTCATCACCAGGAGACCTGCACTGCAAGAAATAGTAAATGAAGATTTTTAGGCGGAAGGGAAATGACACCAGATGGAAACTTGGATCTATACAAAGGAATAAAGAGTGCTAGAAAAGGCAAATATGAAAGCAAATATAATAGACTTTTTTTTTATTTTTATTGTTGACGCTATTACAGATGTCACTATTACAGACGACAGCCTCACACACTTGGGGAGCTGTAGCAGGCGAATGGCGAAAGGGAAGAAGATGCTGGGACAGGAAGGCAGAACCGATGGGCAAGGAGTCACTGGGCACTCTGGAGCTGAGGAGCAGCGGGAAGAGATCTGCTTTCAGGTCTCGTTGGAGGTGGCAGAGCAGAGGGGAGGAAGGTCGAATGAAGGCCTGTCTGCAGTCAGGGAGAACATTTAGGAGGTTACTGCACAAGTCTCTACAAGGGCCAGTGATGCTAAACATGAGGCAGTGGTGCTGGGATGGAGAAAAAGCAGGTGTCTGAGTGCACAGGTACTGGAGGCGAGGATGACTCCCACTTTTACATCACTCTGCTCCACTATCACTTCCTATGGAAAGTGCCTTAAAAAAAGCAAAAGGGCATTTTTCAAGGCTCATGTCCCCCCACCCCCACTCCCATACCTCCCCACGCACATGCGCTAGTATCAAGGCACAGCTGTGTCCAGAAGCACACCACGTACCTAGGCAGCAAGGCATTCGTCTCTCACAGCTCCGCTCCCCTTAGGACCAGCACCACTCCCGGGTCAGCTCTTGCCCACAGGATCCCTCAGCATTCTCATCCTCACAACTGTCCCCCAAGGAAGCCTCACTCCCCAGAGGCCGCGCGCCATCCCCGCCCCCGCCCAGGGAACGGGTGGGGCAGGCAGGCCTGTGCATCCGGCATGGACTACCTCATGCCCACCCTTACTGCACAGCCAGGCTGGCAGACAGACCGATGCGTAAACAAGAGCTCAGAAAGACCCTGTTCCCAATGCCAAGCCTTCCGGTGCCTCTGTAGAGCCTGTGGGGATGGAGCCTCAAACCTTTTCATATCACCCAGTGGCCCTGAACCTTCCCTGCCTCCTCCCCGACCATGTCCCACTTTACTTCCTGTGTCTGGCCACAGCTGAATGACTGGTGAATGCCCGGAGCACACTTGAACCCCAGGCTACAGTGCTTATCCTGTTGGTTCCCTCTCTGGACCGGTTTACCACCCTCCTCCCGTCTGATGAGACGCCTCCCCTCCCTTCCCTTCCTGCCCGCAGTCGAGGGCCGAACGTCCTCCTTGACTTCTCCTCGCACAAGCCTAGTTCAGTGCCCCACTCGCAGACTTTTAATAATCTTGTGCATCACCTTCTCAAAGGTCACGCCATTGCACAATTGCTCAGCATCTCTTTCTCCCTTCGAACCATGGACGCTCCCGGAGGCTCGCGCAGGGTCCTGCAGCTCCACCCCAGCACAGGGACGGGCCGCAGCGTGCGCGCTCTGCTGTGAGGGAGTGGGTGCACTTTTCTCGTTGATCCTCACCCAAGAATATTCTCCCACTGATTTTTAGAGAGAGTGGAGGGAGGGAGGGAAGGGGAGAAGGAGAGAGAAACAGAAACATCGATGTGAGAGAGACACATCAATTGGCTGCCTCTTGCAAGCGCCCTGACTGGGGCCAGGATCGAACCTGCCACCCAGGTACATGCCCTCAACAGGAATCGTGGCCAACACTTTAACCACTGAGCCACATTGGCCAGGGCACGGAAGAAATATTTTGAAAACCAAAATTTCACTTCATTGGTGACCTTTCAACCGTTCCTAAATTCTTCTGGTTTATATTGTTATCTTTAAAAAACTGTTTTATATTATACACAGATGATTCAACACAAGAGCAAGGAATAAAGTACCTCCTAAAATTTACTCCAGGAAAAAATGTTCTCTTAACTGAACCACTTGGTAGGATTCCTTCTGGTTAGAAAGTGCAAACGTGTCAGCCCCCACCACTTCGTCGGCACCCCAGCTGCGGGAAGCAGGCTGGACGTGTCCACTCTGTGCTGGCCGAGGTGCCACGCCTCCAGGGAGAACTGCCTCCTCATCCTCTCCCGTGACTGGTACATACGCAGGTGTGAGCATCATTACAGACCACCTTAAACTCTTCTTGGAAGGATGGGTAGGCATGTAAGACAAACTGGATAACTAATAGCTATTTATTTGTTATAAGTCGGAGTATACATGAAACATTCTGTCTTGATTAGTTAAATCAATGTTCAATGTTTTTGCTTATGTTGAACTTTGTGATGAAGATAATAAAAATCAGTCTCTTTGCCAAACATTAAAAATTGACACATAGTGGGAGTTAAATAACTCTTCCCAGGACCTGGCCCAGCTGCCTATGTGTTCTCTGGGCCTGATCTACTAGATGATAGATCTTTGTCTCCTCTTCTTACTACAGCATCGTTGATACATAAATAATAATGTATTTGTTACTATAAGACAATTAAGTGATTTGACCGCCTCTTGGAACCTTCTTAGATGGAAAATAATTATCAACTCAAAGTAATAAAATATCTTTCAAAATTAAATAAAAATATGTCCAATGATGATGCAGATGATGGCTAAGATTTTTCTAGTGATTACTATGTATATTCTCTCTCTATATTTGCTCATTTAATTAAATACCATGACAACATATGTGGCAGGTAACTGTTATCATTGTCCTAATTTCACAGGTAAGAAAACGGAAACACTGAGAAGTTAGGTAACGTTCCCAGAGGTCACACAGCTGGTTAAGTGGCAGTATTGGGATGTTACCTATATATATAGGTTCCAGGTCCATGTTCTCAACTACACAGCTACATGGGATATATAAAAAATACTGAGCCTTGGCGGGTTTGGCTCAGCGGTTAGAGCACTGGCCTGCAGACCAGAGAATCCCGGGTTTGGTTCCTGCTAAGAGCACGTACCTCGGTTGCAGGATGTCCCCGGCCCCGGTTGGGTCGTGTGGGTGGCGACCACTTGATGTGTCTCTCTCACATCGATGTTTCTCTCTCTCTCTTCCCGCCTCTCTCCCTCTCACTCTATCCGGAAAAAAAAAAAAAAGAAGAAGAAAAGACAAATACTGAGATGGCCAGAGCCAAAAGTAGCTGAAATCTTTAGAAGAAAAAAACTGCTGACTAAAAGCATGGCCTTCTGTATTTTTAATTTTTCTTAGACTCATTACCATAGATTCAACACCCTCTTAAGCAACCGTGTTCCGCTGACAGCGTCACAGGTGTTAGGAGTGTGGGCTGAGGCCGCGCACAGACCTGGGCTGCTCCCCCATCCCGCCACAGCCCAGCGGGGGTCCCCGTGCCCACAGCGGCACAAAGCCGAGTGCTTGCTGGGTTCAGGCTCAGTTTTCCCCGGTGACCGTGTCTGTCCCAGCCCCCTCTTGTGAGAACTGTCCTCTCTCACCAGAACCTATGGCTGGAAGGAGCCCTCCTCCCCGGACAGCTTAACTGGTCTCAGTCAGGTGTTTGGCTGAACTGAGACGACCACAGGAGCTCACTGCCTGGCTGGGACGGGCATGGGCCTGAGCTGGGATCACCCCTGGCACCTTTTTCTACAACTGGAGCTGGGGAAAGCCACGAGAAGAGTGGTCACGAAGTGTGGACCAGGGTGTCCGAGAGAGTGGGGCCGGCACGCAGAGGCCTGGAGGGGGACCGAGGGCACTGCAGCCCGCTGGCCGTTCCCTCCGCCCTCCACGCCACCAACACATCGGCCAAGAGCAGAAAAAGGACTTGTTTCTGCCACTTTCATCTGGACAAGCTCGACGCTCAGGCTGACGCCCAGTGTCCTCATCTGCACAGTGGGGAAAAGAAAACAGCCTTCCCTCCCGGGACAGTTCCGAGGGGAAGCGAGACAAGCACTTCGAGGATGTTAGCGGTGTGTTTTAGGGACACGAAGGGCCCCGTGGCTGTTGGCTGACAGTAATAACACCTACAGTAGCACTTCCCCCTCAGAATGCTGCCAAGACTATGGAGTGAGTCTTGGTTCCTCTTTCTCTGTCCATCCAGTAGGACAGCAAGCACGGTCGGTAGTAACTTCAGACTACTATAGCTACAATCCAGCCACTTCTCAAAATCTCTAGTGTCACCACCGGGGATGGTCCAAACCAGGATGGAAACTACTCGCCAGCCTGCCTGACCTCTGACGGTCTCTTCTCCCCCCCGACTCCAAGTGACCCAGCCCATTACAGGGTGACTCGGAAAATGAACAAGGCCCAATGGCATCTCATCTCACTCACAGGGCACATCAGAGCTGCGCCTGACCGCCCTCTGAATTTCTACCACACCCGCCCCAGCTCCGCCCCCACCAGCCTTCTTATTTGTCCTCACTCAGCCAGCGGGCTCCACACCGTCCTCGCTCGGCCGGGCTCCATACTTGTCCTCAATGAGCCAGCAGGCTCCTTACCGCCCGCACTCAGCCAGCGGGCTCCATACCGTCCTCGCTCAGCCAGCGGGCTCCTTACCGACCTCACTCAGCCAGCGGGCTCCATACTTGTCCTCAATGAGCCAGCAGGCTCCAGCTAGGGGCTTTCATACTTGCTCCCTCTATCCAAGACACTCCTTTCCCAAGTATCTTCAAGCCTCACTCTCTTCCTTCCTGTAGGGTCTGCTCAAAGGCCACCCTTTTGTAAATATTGCCTGGAACTCTATTTAAAAGTGTAGCCCTCCTGCTAATTCAGCTCTTTTTTGTTCCCTAAAACTTACCGCCATCCGACCTACCATATCCATTTCCCTGTGTGTTCCCTGCCTGCCTCCCCTCTCTAGAATGCAAGCTTCAGGGGAGCAGGGGTTTTTCAACTGTTTTGTTTACTATTGTTCTCATCTCTGTTGTGTTCCCAGGCACACAATAAATGTTTGCAGGCAGGCAGGCAGGCAGGCAGGAAGGAAGGAAGGAAGGAAGGAAAACAAACTCCTTTTCTGGGAGTTAAAGGAAATAAATGTGGAAATCTTCTTATGAAACTTTTTGCACTTACTTGGCGCAGCGCACCCAGTGTGTATGTCGGTACAAGGAATACAAGAAGCGCTGGCGATACATGTTCCATACTTTGATGGATTTGTCTTCAGAAGCTGTAGCTAGAAACTGGCCATCAGCTGAGAAGTCCACACTGCGAACTGGAGCTGTGTGAGCTTTAAATTCAGAGGATTTCCCTCTCCTGGAAAGAAACAGTTTAATGTTTATAACACTTGATTAATTATAATCAATCGCTAGTCAGTATACAGACTCTGAAATCATAAAACAGCTCAACTCTTGCAACACTAACAGAAATGTGAAAGGTTGTGTTGTCTTCTACTCTTTACTGATACTCTTTCAAGCTGGTTTTGTCAATTAAAGTCACAACTGATACTTGGTAAGAAAGACTCTGGTGGTCCCCACCCTGAAATATTTATTCTTTATGTTTTTTTTTTCTTTATTGTTTTTTAGAGAGAGAGAAAAGGAGAGGAAGAGCAATAAAAATACCAATGAGAGAGAACATGGATTGGCCGCCTCCTGCATGCCCCCCACTGGGGATCGGGCCCACAACCCAGGCATGTGCCCTGACCAGGAATAGAACCAGTGACCTCTTGGTGCATGGGTGGATGCTCAACCACTGAGCCCCACCAGCTGGGCTACTCTTTATGGTTTTTTTTTTAATCCTCACCTGAGGACATTTTTTTCCATTTTTTGTTCAGATAGAGTGGGAGGGAGGGAGGGAGAGAGAGAGAGAGAGAGAGAGAGAGAGAAACATCAACATGAAAGAGACACATCGAGTGGTTGCCACCCGCATGACCCAACCAGGGCTTCGGACAAACTGCAACCGAGGTACGTGCCCTTAGCAGGAACTGAACCCGGGTCTCTCTGGACCGCAGGTCGATGCTCTAACCGCTGAGCCAAACCGGCCAGGGCTACTCTTTATGTTTTAATTTGAAGATAGGGTAATAACATTTTGAACAACTCTCTGCCACGCATTTTAAGTTCCTGCTGTTCCTCCAGAAAGAGCAAAGCTATTTCTCTAGAAAAGCTATTTCCTCTAGAAAAGCTAAGACTGATTAAATGACTATCTCCAAGGCAATGTTTTCAAACTGGGGTCACACGCAAGTTGTGTGGACAGAAAGTCTGGGCTGGGAAGGAGGAGATGTCCCTGAGTTATCTGCCTCTGACTTTCCTGTTTCCACCCACCAGTGATGAGAACTGATCCCCCCCCCCCCCCACCTCCACTGGGATGCTCCTGGGCCCAGTCACATAGGAGCAAAACAAAGGGTAAATGGTAACACAGTACTTCAGTTCTCCACACCTTGAAATTTCAGATGCATTTATTTTCTTGGTTAGGGTGGGAAAAAGAGAATAGGAAAAACAGATGGAGAAAATAACATGGCTTAATTTAAGGAGAAGCAGCAGGGGAAACAATGTTAAAACAGGAGCAGGGAGCAGACAGCCCTGGAGTTAAAAGGAGGCCTTTGGAGAACACAGCTTGGTGTCGCTCTCCGACGTTCCCAAGGCACTTTCACTTTACACCGCATCCGGACTCGCAGTTTTCCACCCAGAAAGTCACGTCGACGCAGGTGACACCTTAGGAGGAAAATCGCTGTGACTGTTTGAAAAAGATCCTGAATCTGCAGAAGCCTGGAGGTCACACTCAACAACTCCCCCTGCCTCTCCTCCCACGCCCACTAGGTCAGCACACCTCTGAGTGACCGTGACATCGCGGAGTGTCTTTGAATCCCTCTTCTGTCCCCGCTGTGCTTGCGTGAAGGTAGATACACCCTCAGTATCCTTCACCCAGATTATTGCAAAAGCCTCTTAGCTGGTCTCCCTGCTCTAATCTTTTATCCACTCCGGTCACCTATATACTGAGCTTAATACCTGGCTAAAGGGGTAACTCCAAGCCTGCAGATCCCAGTGCCAGCGTGTCACTGGCTGCCCTCCCAAAAGAGGCACAACCCCCGCGTTCTCTGGCAGGTGTCCTGCCGGTACTGAACTTCGTTCTCTGAGAACAGTCCCAGCACCTCCGGCTTCTTCGCACCTGCTGCTTCCCAGCCCAGACCTGTTCGACCAGCCCCGACAGGCTCAACTGCCCCCTCTGCTCCATCTGTTTTGCTGATTACATTATGCAATACTTAAAAAAAAAAAAAAAAAGATATGTCTCTCCTAGTAAGCAGTAAGTTTTTTGAGGACAGGAATGATGATTTATTCGCCTCTGTAAGACCAGACTCTGGCACAATGCCAAGCATATAAAAAGAGCTCGATGCGTTTTGTTGAATTCCACTGGGAAGAGGCAACACTTAAAGGTTCTTGGGTCCAGCCTGGCTTACCCTCCAGTGGCCTACAGAAGACAAAGGGGACTGTCCTGAACCTCCAACACCCGACACCCGATACATGACATTATACCAGGAATAACTAAAATCAATATTTAAAAACCAGGAGGGGCATTCAGGGACTGGTTCGGTGAAACTTCAGGGGAAGTTCTTTGGGTAGAGGTCAGAGTGCAGTTTGGCCTGAATTCAGATATAAGAGCTGGAGAAAACAAAAGCTTTGGCATCTGCTGTGACCAGGAAGCCAAGAGACAGTCAGCATCATCGAAACCTGCCCCGCTCCTCAGTTCTGGGCTGCACTCCTTCTTCCTGAAGGCCCCTCTCAGCTCCAGGCTGGCCACTGGATCCGGTCCCAACAGGAAGCGTGTAAACAGACAGACAAAAGAACAAGGAGCGCCCTGGCCGGTTTGGCTCAGCGGTTAGAGCGTCAGCCCGTGGACCAGTGAGTCGCGGGTTCGGTTTCGGTCAAGGGCACGTACCTCGGTTGCGATTCGTCCCCGGCCCTGGTCGGGTTGTGTGGGAGGCAACCAGTCCATGTGGCTCTATCATGTCCATGTTTCTCTCTGTCTCTCTCTCTCCCACTCTGTCTGATAATAAGTAGCAAAATATCCTCAGGTGAGGAATAAAAAAAAAAAACAAGGAGTGCCTTGTTTGTTGTGCTTAACATGTTTCTAATTCCTCACCTTGCCTTAATGTAGGTGCTCTGCTTCCCCATATTTACCTGTCCTTTCTGCCCAGATTCTCTCAACGGCCCACTGTGCCAAACTGCAGGCCAGACCCGCCGCCACTGGTCTTTCTCACCTGCCGGGTGCCCGTCTGCTCTACAGCTGCCCACGGTTCCTCACCCTGCCCACTCGCGCCAGTCCTCCCACAGGGGGCAGAGCTGCCATGTTCCTCCCTCTGGCTCTGGGCTGCTGGGCGACTTACTGTGACCAGCAGAATGGGGCAGAAGTGACACTGTGCACACTTCAGGCCTGGCCCTTAACGGGTCCAGCGGCGTCTGCTTCTACTGCCCTGGAAGCTGGCTGCCACGCTGCGTGCAAGTGCCTGTCCCGCCAGGCAGGGGGTCTGTGGAGGACCAGGGTGCCCCAGCCAAGAGCCAGTACCAAGGCCCTTGGCATACGAGTGAGGTGCTGGGCCCACCAGTCCTGCTGTTGGCTTAATGAAGCTGCAAAAGCAGTAGCCAAGCCCGGCCGGTGCGGCTCAGTGGTTGAGCGTCGACCCAGGCACTAAGAGGTCATCAGTTCGATGCCCGGTCAGGGCACATGCAGGTTGTGGGCCCGATCCCCAGTGGGGGGCATGCAGGAGGCGGCCTATCGATGTTCTCTCTCATCCATGTTTCTATCTCTCTCTCCCTCTCCTTTCCTCTCTCTGTAAAATCAATAAAGAAAAAATATTAAAAAAAAAAAATAAGCAATAGCCAACACCACATGGGGCAGAAGAATCATCCATACAACCCACAACACTGTGAGAAGTGATAGTTATTGTAGTTAGCTACTATGTTTTTGTTTTTTTATTCCTCACCCAAGGATATTTTTCCCTTTATCTTCAGATACAGTAGGAGGGAGGGAAAGAGAAACAACGATGTGAGAGATTTCACATCAACCAGTTGCCTCCTGCACAACCCCAACCAGGGCCAGGGACTGAACTGCAACCGAGGTACGTGCCCTTGACTGGAATCAAACCCATGACTCTGGTCCAAAGGCCAACGCTCTAACCAGCCAGGACCTAGCCAGGACCTAACCACTGTGTTTTGACACTTGTTATGCAGCAATAGAGAATCTAATACATGAGTTTCCTTCCCACTGCTGAGATCTGCTATTGCCTAGGCCCATTCTATGATTTAAAAAGAGGAACAAGAGCCCTGGCCAGTTTGGCTCAGCGGTTAGAGCCTGCGGTCCGGAGAGACCCGGGTTCGGTTCCTGCTAAGGGCACGTACTTTGGTTGCAGTTTGTCCCCGGCCCTGGTTGGTCATGCGGGTGGCAGCCACTCGATGTGTCCCTTCACGTCGATGTTTCTCTCTCTCTCTCCCTTCCTCTCTCTCCCTCCCACTCTATCTGTACAAAAAATGGAAAAATATCCTCGGGTGAGGATAAAAAAATAAATAAAAAAAATAAATAGAGGAACAAGAGACACCCACCCAGCTTACTTTCTGTGCTTAGATTGGCCAGCGCAGACTAATGGTTCAGTGTGTGTAATGGTTCCCCTGTGCTCACCAAGGGTTCCTTGAATTCGCAGTGGGTGACTGAGGTTGTGTTGTGCTGGTCCTCAATCCCAAAAATTTAGGATTTTAGAAAATGCTTCCCCTTTTAAACCACAAACCTGTCTCTCTGCCTTACAGATCCCCTCTCTATTGTCATCCACAGTGTCATCACAACACATCATTTCTCTTCAACAGTCTGCGCTGCCATCAGGATCCTACTCGGATTTCTGAGCGTGGCGTTCCCCTCGGGTGGTGGAGGGAAAGGCCTCGCGAGCTTTCTTTCGGGGAGAGCCCGATCAGTCCCAGGCCACCAATCAAATCCTGCCACACCAGAGTCATAGAAATGGCTCAAATTCTTATTCTCTGAAGTATACATAGCGGGAGATGACGTGATGTGTGGGATTGTTCTAAAGACTCTAGAGAAAAGGAACAGGAGCGGCGCACAGATGAAACGAGGTCGGCAGTGCTGAAACTGCGGATCTGATAGATGGGGACGGGGCGAGGGGGTCTGCGCTAGTCTCTCTCTTTTCAAGTGTGTTTGAAAAATTGCATAATTAAGAGTTTAAAAACATAGAAAAAGATGAATGGCTCAATAACTGCTTAAAATAGACGAGCTACCAACGAGGGTTTGAGGTGTCTTATGGAGAGGTTCGTCCCCACGGACAGGGCCTCCCGACACATGCAACGACTGACTCACACTTTTGTCAGAAATGTTCTTTAGCAAGAACGTTCTGGAGCCTAACAGTGAATGATACACAGAAAGAACAGTTCTGGCACAGGGGCTTTTAGTGGGGTCCAAAGGTCCCTAAAGACCCATGAATGAGGCTTTCGGAGGTTAAGGAACTGTAGTTTTTGTTACACATGCCAATGTGTATCTCTGGGGAGACAATCTAAAGCTTGTATCAGATTTACTAAGGGATTGATAACTATCATCTCCCCCCCATAACTTAATACATAGTAACATATCCCCATGGTTAGAAACAGTTTTCAAACAGAAGACTTAGTTGTGAGTTAAGATGAGAACAAAGCGCTATGAAGGCGTCTGACTTGACACCTCGTGTGAGACTCAGGCTGAGCGCAGGGCAGGTAACTGGGAGTCCGGGCCATCCCCAGAAGTGCAGCAGGACCAGCCTGTTCTCTTCCCCATGTCTACATGCAGAGCGCGTCCGATGTCCGCTCCTCTTACTTGTCGGGAATCCAGAGTCGAACAGTCCTGTCTCGCGATGCAGACGCCAGCAAGTTTCCCACCGGAGAAAACTGCACGCTCGTCACGACGTCCTTGTGGCCCACGTATCTGAAGGCCCTGGCTTGCGGCCTGCAGCTCCACAGCATGAGGAATGTGTCCCAGGAGGCGGTAGCTATCAAGAAGGAGAGGAACAAAAACGCCGGTTATTCTAATGTAACACGTAGGCATGTCTCATTACAATGGGCAGCATATCTAGTAACAAGATGTCCAGGTAATAGAGGGGCTGAAGGTTGTAAGGCTGACCAGGTAATGGCAAAAATACGTTTTAGCAGAAACCCAAAGCTCCATCATGAATATGCAAGCTTGGCTACGTGTAACCACACACAGGCTCCCTGGCCCTGTGAAGAAGGCAGATCAGTATGACAGAGCACAGCGTCTGTCTCTGGCTCCCAGGGTGGCTGAGCAAAGTTACTTAACCTCTGTCATGAGAACGGAATGGTTTTCCTGAGAGGGCTGGAAGGCAGGATTATTTTTAAAAAACTGTGTTTGTGGAAATAATTTCATTTATAAAAAGTTACAAGAATAATATAAAGAACACTAAAATACACATTACCAGATCCATCTATTATTACTATTTTGCTTCATTTGGTCTATAATTTGCTCTGGTACACACTCGCACACATGCACTCTCTTTGTACACGAGTATGCACACACGCAGGTTTTTTTTCCTGAACCATTTGGTAGTATGAAAATACATCATCATGGCACTTTGATTCCTAAATACTTCAGTGTATCTCTCTAAGAATAAAAATATTCTCATACATAGAACAGTTATCAACTTCAGAAAATTTATCATTGACAATACTTGAATCTACAACTGTATTCCAATTTTGTCAATTGAACCATTAATATCTCTCTCTCCCTCTTTTTTTTAATCCTCACCTAAGGAAATGTTGAGAGAAGAGAAGAGGAAGTAAGCGAGAGAAAGAGAAAGAGAGAGAGAAACATCTATGTGAGTGAGAGATAAACATTGATCAGTAGCTTCCTGTACACACCCTGACCAGAGATTGAACCCACAACCTAGGTATGTACCCTGACCGGTATTCAAACCTGCTTTGTTTTGGTAAAAGCCACCTGGCCAGGGCCCCACGAATGTCTTCTATAGCTAGACGAGATGACCTTAAAAATCTTTTCTGCTGTTAGTTTATGACATTCTATGATGAATAAAAGAATTATGTGCCAGATATTAGCTTAAGGCTTTAGGAAAAGGAACACAAATGCAATCAATGGTGGAACTAGATGCCTTGGACAAAAAATGAACAAACAGCCCTGGCCGGGTTGCTCAGCTGGTTGGAGCCATTGTCCTGTGCGCCCGATTCCTGGTCAGGGCACATACCTAGGTTGTGGGTTTGATCCTTAGTAGTGGAGCATATGAGAGGCAACCAATCGATGTTTCTCTTACATTGATGTTTCTCTCTCTCCTTATCCTTTCCCCTCTCTCTCTAAAAATCAATAAAAACATATCCTTGAGTGAGAAAAAAAAAGAATAAATGAAAGCGTGTTCTAACTCTTGCCCCAAAACCAAACTTTACATATGCAAGTAGCCCCCCAGAATAGCCGCAATAATTGAAACCAGGTCAATGAGAATCACTAAGTCTAGATTGTAGAATGCTTAGGAAAAAAAATACGACTTTATAAAATTTAAATGCAATTAACATTACTGTTAGATGGACTATATAAAGTCACTGAAAACCTTCTAAGTTTTTTAGCCACATTACCCTGGCCAGTTTGGCTCAGCAGTTAAAGCGTTGGCCCAGTCAGTTTGATTCTGGTCAAGGGCATACACCTGGGTTGGAGGTTTGATTCCTGGCCCCAGTTGGGGTTGTACAGGAGGCAGCCAATCAATGTCTGTCTGTCTGTCTGTCTGTCTCTCTCTCCCCACCCACCCCTTCCACTCCATCTAAAAATTAATGGAAAAATATCCTCAGGTGAGGATTAGTAAATAAATAAACAAATTCTTTATCCGCTGGTAAAATTCACTTGGGTTTACTTAACCTATGCACTGTTTCCATGTAAAACAGTTAAAGTGAGTTTTTATGTTTCAAACTGTAGTGCTGTCTACTACTCCTTTTTTGCAAAGTACAAAGAGTTGATGTTCCACCACAGCTGATCAAATTATTAAATATTTATACCAGAGTCTGAATTATCTGAAGCAAATACAGAGAAAACAATGAATTATCACATGCTTTATACTTAGGACTCTATTTGAGTTGTAATATATTCTGCTGCAAAAAAGATCAACAAAAGGACAGCAGGACACAATCCCTTACCCCAAGGAATCATGATGTTGTGGGGAGAAGATTCATTAGTAATATCATACATATTCAGAAGACTATAACATATTATTATTTCTTAATATTACATGGGGTGGGTAGTGGTCCTTTCAAAGGAAAGGATCTGAGCACACGTGAGTGAGAGGAGGGTGACCCAGGCTAAGATGTGAGAAAGAACGCCCCACGTGCAAGGGCCTCATACGACAATGCGCGTGAAGACCAAGGAACTAACCGCAAGGGGCCGGCGTGTCCACAGTGGTGGGAGAAAGAGAGCACGAGAGGGAAGCGGAGAAGCACGCAGAGGCCAGCCAGAAGCCATGGTAACAGGTGGGTATTTATTCTAAGTGCGATGGAAAACCGTTGAAGGATTTCGAGCAGGGAGATCTCAATGAATTTAAGAAAATTGCCTCTCTGGCCCTGGCCAGTTCGGCTCAGCGGTTGGAGCGTTGGCCTGCGGACCAGAGAGTCCCGGGTTCGGTTCCCGCTATGGGCACGTAACAAAAATATAATAATAATAAAAAGAGACAGTATTTGTGATTTCTTTAAAAAAAAAGAAAGAAAGAAAATTGCCTCTCTGACAATGAGAAAAAGGTGATCTTTCCAAAAAATGAAGTAGGATCAACTGGATATTCATAAAAAACAAAAGTAATGATGCCTACATTTTATGCTATACATACATGCAAAAAGAGTTCCCTATGGGTTGTAGATCTAAATGTGATAGGTAAGACAATACGCTTTTAGATGAGAATATAGAACATCTTCATGGCCATTGGGATAGGCAAAGATTACTTAAACAGGACATGAAAAGTACTAAATTACTAATGAAAAAAAATTTGCTCATTGAAGGGTACCACAAAGTAACTGAAAAGGCAGGCCAGAGAATGGAAGAAGATATTTACAATAAATACATCCAACATATAACAAAGAATCTACAAAGATTCCTACAAGCCAATTAGAAAAGGCAGAAAAACTGGCAAAGAGCTTAAATAGGCACTTCATTAAGAAGGATAGCCAGGCCCTGGCCGGTTTGGCTCAGCGGTTAGAGCGTTGGCCTGTGGACCAATGAGACCTGAGTTCAGTTCTGGTCAAGGGCACGTACTTCGGTTGAGTTCATCCCCAGCCCTGGTCGGGATCGCACGGGAGGCAACCAGTTGATGTGTCTCTCTCACATCGATGTTTCTCTCTCTCCCTCCTTCCTAATCTGTCTAAAGATGAATGGAAAAATGTCCTCGGGTGAGGATAAAAAAAAAGAAAGTATAGCCAAATGGCTAATAAACATGAAAAGATACTCAATTCTATTAGTCGCCAGCAGAATGTAAATTAAAACCACAATGAGATATTACTACAAAAAAAGAGATAAACAATACCAAATCTTGGTGAGGATGTGAACAACTAGAATTCCCATATAATGCTGGTGGCTGTAACCACTTAGAAAAATTGCTTTTGAAATATCTACCAAAGCTGACTATACACTTACCATCTGATTCAGCAGTTTCACTCCCAAGAACATACCTGACAGAAATTCTTATATATGTTTAGCAAAAAACATACAAGAATGTTTGTGGCAGTACCATTAAAAATAGACCAAAGCTAGAAACTCAAATATCCATCAAAGTAAATTTGATATATAAATTGTGGTACATTGATACTCTATAACTACTGTGCAATTAAAGTTCATGTGTGTGAAGTTCAAGCGGCAGTGCATTAACCTATGGAGTCAGAAGTAGCACAGAGGTGATCCGGGTGGCAGGGAGGGAGGCAGCAGCTGGAAGGGGCACCAAGGTGGCCTCTAAGGGCACTGGTGATACTGGGTCTCTCCTCTGGGTGTTGGCTAAACAGGCATGTCACACTGTGAAGATTCATCATGGTGTCCAATTTTGACTCATATCTTATGCTTCAATAAAACACTTAAGATGAAGGGACCTAGAGAGCATTATGCTAAGTAAAATAAGTCAATCAGAGAAAGACAAGTATCACATGATCTCACTTAATGAACGAAATAAGCTGATGAACAAAATAGACCCAGAGACATAGAAAGGAGTACAGTGCAGACTGACAAACCTGAAGAGGGAGGTGGGGGGAGGGAAGAGATAAACCACAGAACTTATATGCATGTGTGCGTAACCAATGGACACGGACAACAGTGCCGGGAGTGGGGGTGGGGTGGGGAGGGGGGTGTCTATGGGGGGAAAAGGAGAAACATTTGTAACAAAAATTAATTAATAAAACTTGAAAAAAAAAAACAAGAAACATTTAGGGGGGAAAAAAGCCACGTTGGCTGTTGTGTGGAGACTATGGGGGACAGACTTGAAGAAGGAAATCCGTTAGGAGGCTGTTCCAATGATCTGTCGGGGAGGCGGAGGTCTGGCCCAGGGGCCGTGGGAGGGAAGACACATGGTGAAGCCCATGAGGCTGCTGACAGATTCGATATGGAGGAGAGAACGAGAAGCAGCAAAGATGCCAAGCTTTTGGCAGGCCACCCAGGTGAATTCCAGTGCCTCCTAATGAGGATGGAAGGACCAGAAGAGGAGGAGGTTGAGAGCGAGGCAGAACGGGGTGGGACATCAAGAGTACTTCTTAGAATATAAAGTTTAAGATGTTTGCCATACAAGTTGAAATACCAAGTAGGGTGTTGGACATTCTCACCTGGAGCTCAGGAAGGGGTTTTCACTGTCCAGTGTGGTGGTTTAAAAAGCAAAGTATAGAATTCAACTTGCTGACTGAAATCCAGGCTTACCAGCTCTGTGCCCTTGGGTAGGCTACCCAACCTCTCTCTGACTGGGACACTTTATCTGCAAAATGAGGTACTTAGAGCATTAAGTGAAATAATACTTATAAT